CTGCCATACTGTTTTCCACAGCAGCTGCACCATTTTACAGTCCCACCAACAGTGTACAAGGGTTCCAGTTTCTCTACATCCTCCCCAATGCTTGTTATTTTCTGTTTGTCTTGTTTTTTAATGGCATAAAGTGGTATCTCAGTGTGGTTTTCTTTGCATTTCTCTAATGATTAGTGATGTTGAGCATCTTTTCACATGTGTGCTGGCAATTTGTGTATCTTCTATATTTTCTACATAATAGAGAAATGTCTATTCAAGTTCTTTGCCCATTTTTTAATTCCTTGTTTTTTTGTTGAGTTGTAGGAGTTTGTTATATATTTCTGGATATTGACCCCTTATTCAAAGATTTTTAATATTTCCAGATGCATAAAAAGTAGTCTTTGGAAAGGTCCCAGGTTTTCTAGTTGGAGCCCACACTACTCAAACCTTCACATGCCTTGCTCTCCTGTCAAACCAGCTCTGTGCTATTTTCCAAATGCCCCCCCGGATGCTGCATCCTCTGATCACATTGACCTCTTCCCTCTCTCCACTTCTCTGCTAAGCTTGTCTAAAATGCACCTCTGGGCTTGGTGCAGTGGCATACATCTGTAATCCCAGCTACTTGGGAGGCTGAGGTGGGAAGATCGCTTGAGCCTAGGAGTTTGAGACTGGCCTGGGCAACATAGTGTGATCTTAAAACAAGCAAGCAAGCAAACAAACAAGCAAATAGCACCTTTGACACAAAGCCTTGCTTGAGTCTTCTAGAAGGATACAATCGTCCCTCTCCTGGCCTGCCCCCCACCCTACTTTTCTTTGGCCCTGATGTTATTGCTTTGTATTATGGTTGTATATATATATGTATATCTGTCTTCTACTCACTGTAAGGCCCTGAGGAGCTCATATCTGCATTCCCTTCAGCACTAGCACAGCATCTTGAGCATTCAAAGGCCTCATTAAGCAACTGCTTGTAAGGACAGATGTTCTGGAGTTAGGCAGACCAGAGTTCAGCTTCTTCCCTGCTACTTATTCACTGGGTGCCTTTGTGCAAATTTCCAAACCACTCTAAACCTCAGTTTCATTATTTGAAGAATAGGGTAACAACAGCTGCCTCATAGTTTTGTGATGACTGGATGGAATAATGTGCTTTATCACACTGTCTAGCTCACTGCTATTTATTAATTGGGAAATTGGAAGTTAACAGGATTGACTGACCACCTGTGAAAAGCCTAGAGAGTCAAACAAAGGGGTCAAAAAGGCAATATTACTTTCAAGGAGAGGGACTGTATCCATTTGAATGATACGTATGGGGTTTCACCCCTTCTCTCTCTCCATTTTCTTTTCTCCCTCTCTCTTTTCATTAGTGCTGTAACCACTACCACCACCCTTGGAACCGGAAAGCAGCATTATACATTTTTCAGTGGCTTCTCTCCCTCCCTATTTTTTTTTTTTTGAGTTGGAGCCTCATTCTGTCACCCAGACTGGAGTGCAGTGGCACACTTCTGGCCACTGCAGCCTCGACCTGCTGGGCTCCAGCGATCCTTCCGCCTCAGCCTTCCAAGTAACTGGAACTACAGGCGTGCGCTACCACACCCGACTAATTTTTTATTTATTGTAGAGACGAGGTCTCCCCAAGTTGCCCAGGTGGGTCAGGCAATCCACTCACCTCGGCCTCTCAAAGTGCTGGTATTACAGGCTGAGCCACCAAGGTTGGCCTCTCCCTCCCCATTTTCTATTTCAGTTCTCTCCTTGGCAAGATTGGCAGGTGGAGTCCATTAGGGAAGCATGCAGGAAAAACAGTGTAATAAACAATCTGAAACCACACTTGATGTTTGACTATTAAGGGCTTTCAAGGCTCACCATTCCCCCTTACCTTTCTGCCCACATCTGGACATATAGACAAAAAAAGCTCTGGTACTCCTTCTTTTGGTGCCAGTTAGAGCTCAAACCATGCAAACTCTAGCCCATGACAAGAACCCTTACCCCATCCGTACCCTCTAGCCACCATAAAAGTCAAGCCAGTCTCTTTTCCCAGCCCTCTCAAATCATTTTCAAACCAGTTTGGGAGCTAGCCTCTCTCTCCAGAAAGCCTCATTTTATTAGGAATAAACTTTTTCATACACTCTTGGTGCTTGTGTAGTGTCATCATTTGTGACATCAGAACCAAATTTTGAGTGGAGGAATCCACCACATTACTGCAGAGTGTCAAAAACAAATGGAAATGAAAATGCTAGGTCCCTTTATCCATGGGGACCTAGACAACCAAGGCAGGGACAGATGGAATCACCACCTTTTCACCACTCATTTTCTCTGTTACCACAGTTACAATCACATTTGAAGCTACTATTTTCATGGCCATTTAAAAAAAATCAGACAGTTTCCTCCTAGTACTGTGCCAAGGCAAGTTTGAGAATTTTAAGAAGGCTTGTAATTACAAGGTTCAGAACTGCCAGCTCATCTTACCTTACGTTTTTTGCTTCTGAGCAGCTCTTGCATCCTTTTGGGGTTTGGGAATCTTTTTTTGTCCCAGGTGAAGTACCTCTTGCCCTCAGTGTGCTCTATGTCCAGCCATATGACATCATAAGGAATGTCATGTTCATCACAACCTGCATCTACTGCAATGACATCCTGCTCATCTTCATAGTTCCAGCGGCACTGGTGGTACCCCAAGGAGAACAGAGGGGGCATGGCTTGCGTGCCTAAAAAGGAACATGGCAACTATGTCAACTGCCACCATAGTGATCATGATCCATTCTATAAAAATTTCCCAAATGTCATCAGGGTGCTAAGTATTGAGCTTGTACTTAGAATATAAAGGAGAAGAAAGCACAGTTCCTGCCTTCATGGAAATAACAACCTGACTGATGAGGCAGATGTATAAATAAAATGTTCTGCTCTGAGGTATAACTATGTTAAGGCTGTCTAGTGCTATCGGAACATAGAGAGCTTAACAAATTCTGGCTGCACTGAAGTGGAGAGTCCTAAAAGGCTTTCTAGAGGACGTAATGCTTGGTGGGGACTTTAAAGAATAAGTAGGAGTGCACCATACAGGGAGAATAGATAGAGCACTCCAGGTACAGGGAATAGAAGAGACACGGAGGCAGAAAACCACATGACAGGCTTAGGAAATATCAGTATTCCAGGCTGTTACCATGTGAGAGAGACTAGAAAACGAAACTGAAGAAGGTCAGATCGTAAGGGCCCTGTAGTTCAGGTTAGGCATGCTGAATCTTGTTTTATGGGAAGCCTTCCAAGGATGGGCAAGAAGTAACCTTTTCAGATCTATGTTTTAGGAAAATTAAGTTAGAGAGCAGTGTTGAGACCAGAAGGGAAAGAGGCTGAAGTCAGGAAGAAATGTCAGGAAATTATAATCAACACATGAAGCACCTTCCCCTCCCACTAAAACCAGAGTAAAGAAAAAGGAATAAAGCCACCCAAACCAAGAGAAAGGGAGAGGAGTAATTTCAGTGAAAATCTGGAAGGCGGCAGGCAGGGAAGGGTGGTAACTGTTGAGCAAAGCCCAGGAAGCTCTCACCCGGGTGCTTGTGAGGATGCTACTGATGAGGGAAGAGCTCATCCTTGCTCCCAGAATACTAGCATTCCCACCCCTAGTGCTGGAACATGAGACTCATCCAGGCTCCAAGAACACTGGCAGAGACACTCCCACCCCTAGTGCTAGAACACAGAGCTTCCAGGAAGAGCCTTCCCAATAAATATAAATGGTGACCAAGGGTCAACCCTACATTCAAGCAAAGTCTCCAGAATTAGAGATAGGGACTCAAATAAAGAAATAGAATAAATGGATCTCTGAGAAAACAGGGACAATGCAAGGAATCAAAGTAAATATCAAAACTTTCCCACTGGTATCTCTAGAGAGAGAAAAAAAAATATATATATTATACTCTTAAACAAGACTAGGATAGCATAAAACAAATACAGGTTGAGTATCCTGATCTGAAACTCTGAAATCTGAAATGCTCCACAATCTGAAGCTTCTTGAGTACCAACACAATGCTCAAAGGAAACGCTCACTGGAGCATTTTAGATTTCAAGTTTTTAGATTAGAAATGGCCAACTGGTAAGTATAATGCAAATAGTCCAAAATTCAAAAAAACCTTAAATCTGAAATACTTTTGGTCTCAAGCATTTTGGATAAGGGACCCTCAACCTGTATATAATTTATGGAACAATAAATGTCATTTAATGCTGTGTGCTATTCTGAAATCTTCACGAGGTTTAGAAGTGGGGTAACAATACTTAGGAGATCACAGAAATTTGGGTGTCTGAGGCAGGAGGATTGCTTGAGGCCAGGAATTCAAGACCAGCTTGGGCAACATAGCAAGACCCTGTCTATACAAAAAACAAACAAACAAAAAATCAGCCAGGCATGGTAACGTGTGCCTGTAGTCCTAGCTACTTGGGAGGCTGAGGCAGGAGGATTGCTTGAGCCCAGGAGTTCCAGGTGAGCTATGATCGCATCACTGTATTCTAGCCTGAGTGACAGAGTGAGATCCTGTCTCTTAAAAAAGAAGAAGAAAGAAAGAAAGAAAGAAAGAAAGAAAGAAAGAAAGAAAGAAAGAAAGAAAGAAAGAAAGAAAATACTTAGATGCTCAACAAACTTAAAATTATACAGAGCAGCATTGAGTCTGTCCCAGTGAAATAGGTTACATAAATTATGGTACCAACACTTTTGCTACTTTGGTTTTTAAATGTTAGGGTAATAAATGTTTTCTGAGTGTTTTGCAAACAAGCAAAAACAAAAAACCAAGGAAGAATAAGAGGATAAGAAAGTGCACTTAAGCAATATTGATAGCATGAATGCAAGGCCTGGAAGATAAACTTGAGAAAATTGCTCAGAAAATAGACAAAAAGCAGAAGGAGATCATGAAATCCGTAGAGGAGAAAGAGAAAAAGGAGAGAAAAACATCAATCAAAGGATTATTATAAGACTGTTTTCCAGAGCTGAAAAACATAATTCTCAAGACTGAAAGGGTCCACATCAATTTTATTCCACTGGTCTATATATCTAGTAACACTCTGTTGACTACCATAGCTTTGAAGTAAGCTTTGGAATTGGGAACTGAGTTTTTCTTTTTCAAGATTGGTTTAGCTATTCAAGCACATATGAATTTGAAGATCAGCTTTTCTACTCCTGCAAAAAAGATCAAGAATTTTGATAGGTTGCAATGGATCTGTAAATCACTTCCAGTATTATTGCCATCTTAACAATATTAAGTCTTCCAATCCAAGATCTTGGGATGGCGTTTAATTTATTTAGACTTTCTTTAATTTTTTCAGGAATATTTTGTAGTTTTCAGGCCTTTCACTTCCTTGGTTAGGTGTATTCCTAGACTATTTTATTTTTTTCAATGCTATTTTAATGGGCTTATTTTCTTAATTCTTTTTTGGATTGTTCATTGCTGATGTATGGAAACATAACTAATTTTCTGTGTGTTTATTTTGTACCCTGTAACTTAGCTAAATTTATTAGCTCTGGTAGTTTTTTGTGGATTCTTTGGGAGTTTCTATATATAGGATCATATCATTTGCAAAGAGAGATTCTATTTCTTCCTTTCCAATTTGGATGCCTTTTATTTCTTTTTCTTGCCTAATCACTCTGGTTAGAACTTCCAGTACAATGTTGCATAGCATTGTACTGTTTCTGATCTTGTCTCATCTTGTTTCTGATCTTAGAGAGAAGCTTGCTGGTTTCTAAAGATAAAATGTTTTAGGCTGGGTGAGTTGGCTCATGCTGGTAATTCTACCACTTTGGGAGGCTGAGGTGGGAAGATCGCTTGAGCCCAGGAGTTTGAGACGATCCTGGGCAACATAGCAAGACTTTGTCTCTACAAAAAAAAAAAACAGAAAAAATTAAGTGGTTGTGGTGGTGTGCGCCTCTAGTCCCAGTTACTCAGGAGGCTGAGGTAGAAGGATCACCTGATCCCAGGAGGTCAAGGCTGTGGTGAGCCATGATTGTGCCACTGCACTCTAGCCTGGGCAACAGAGTGAGACCTTGACTTAAAAGAAAAAAAAAAAAAAAAAGAAATTTTTTAATGCTAAAGCCATTAGTATATTTTATTGGAGAAGAAAATAGAAAATTTCAGGTTGGGATATTGGTTATCTGAGATCAAGGTAGAGGAAGCCCAGGGGCTAAAGGCTCCAAGAAAGGCAGATGGCAAGGAATTAGAGTGTTAGCAATTAGGGTGTTCTAGACTCAATGCAATGTGTAACTGAACTGAATGGATGAGAGTACTGAATGGATGAGAGTAGGAGCAGGAATACTTGCTACTTTAAACCCTTGGGTTAGTTGTTTATAAATTCTACATAGTGTGCAACAAATATTAATTTACTGTGGTGATACATGGGATAAAAGATATATAACAGAACTGGAAACCAGCACTTTTACATCCAAATACCTGTAAGGCGTGAGTACTGTGTGAAGATGTCTGAAGGTGTGGGTCCTGTCAGCAGAAAAACATCAATGATTCCACTCTCTGACATCCAGTGTACATGAGTTCGAGATCTGATCTTTTGTTTAGCAGCAACTGGGCCCTTCTGGGTCAACATATACTGGAAAGGGAATGGAATGAAAATGTGAGAAGTTTCCCTCTGACAACATCTATCCGTATGTGAGTAACAGTCTCTTTTTTTAGTAGATAGTACTGACATTCACTGATTATACTACAAAGTCTTTGGTGGCAGAGAACTACCACTACAAAGATAATAGCTGTGACTGCACTGCAGTGGTTTTATTTCTTCTGTAAGTATGGCATGCAGCCATGATCCATAGCTCACCTCTACTGCAGGCTCTGTATTGATCTCCACTAGTGTTTCTGAGGCATTCAGCCAGAAAATGCCTATGGTCCTGCCTTGTTTGTGCGCCAGAAGATAAGGCACTGACCCATAAATGCCCATTTTGTCATGTATTTTATATCCATAGACATCCAGGTTATAAAGACGGTAAGCATCTCCATCACTGAAACACAAGGATTATTATCAATTATCAACACAAATATATTATTAATAAATAGAATAGCTCCACTCTCCCCTGAAAACACTTAAGTCCCATGAGTCTTTCAAGGCTCAACTCTTACCACTTCCCTAAAGATTTCTTGACCTGACCTGGGTGAATGCGATCCTCCTTCTTTGATTCCTTTGGCACCTCCTCCTATGACAATTAATTAGCACACGATCCCATCTTAGATCTCTTTTCTTTTTAAAAAAATTTTTATTTTATTTTATTTTAAAGATGTGGGGTACAATTCAGAATTAGATATACAAGTGGTCATTGTACAGGTAAAGTTTGGGCCTCCCTTTGGTCCCCGTTTTGCCTGGTTTGAGATTAGGTATGTTTACTGATGTTAGGAGATCTCTTTTCTAAATAACTCTTGTAGGAGGGAACTGTCTGCACACAGCAAGCACATAGTAAGTATCTGCTGATGAATTCTGAGAGTACTTCTCTGATGCAAAAAAAAAGAAAAGTGTCCCAACAGGCTTCCACTGTGCTTAGTGGGGCAAGGCTGGGAACTGAATTTGGGGTGGGAGGCATAGAACTCAGAGCTCATGTTGGTATGAAAGCAGCATCGTGATTTTTTTTTTTTTGAGGTGGAGTCTCACTCTGTTGCCCAGGCTGGCACACTCACAGCCATCCCATTTTTTGAGGTGGAGTCTCACTCTGTTGCCCAGGCTGGCACACTCGCAGCCATCCCAGTGTTGACCTGCTGGGTTCCTGTGATCCTTACGCCTCAGTCTTCCAAGTAGCTGGAACTACAGGCATGTGCTACCACGCCCTGCTAATTTTTTATTTATTGTAGAGAGGAGGTCTTCTCAAGTTGCCCGGGCTGGTCTCGAGCCCACAGGCTCAGGCAATCCACTTACCTCAGCCTCCCAAAGTGCTGGGATTACAGGCTGAGCCACCAAGTCTGGCTGATATATATATATATTTTAAGAGTTCAGGGTCTCACTCTCTTGCTCAGGCTGGAGTGCAGAAGCGCAATCATAGCTCACTGTAACTTCAAACACCTGGGCTCAAGTGATCTTCCCACCTCAGCCACCTTAGTACCTGGGACTACAGATGTCCACCACCATGCCCAGTTAATTTTTAAACTTTTTTGTAGAGACCCAGGCTGGTCTCAAACGCCTGGCTTCAAGCAATCCTCCCACCTTGGCCTCCTAAAATGCTGAGATTACAGGCCTGAGTCACCAAGCTCAGCCAAGAGCAGCACAGTTTCTGATGGACTTGTCACTATGCCTGCGTGTCAAATAAACAGCACCTTTACCTGGCAACCACATCAGGTTCTGTTTCTCTTTGGTTTTGTTTCCTCTTAGTTTGATGTCTCTGCCATCTATTTGTCAATAGTGTTAGCCTGATATCCCTGAGGGAATCAAAGGTGATATGAGATGCCACACTTTTCCATTCTCTGTCTTACTGTCCCCTTTCAGTAAAAGCCTTTTTCTAGGTCAGTGATTTTTCACAGTACATCCTTCCAGGGCTCCACAAAAAGACCTTGAGAGGTGAAAGTGAAACTCAGAGGTAAAGATCTTCTCCATACTTTGATCACAGCAGCTCCATATTTTTACTTCTTTTATATTTTTTAGGTTCAGCATTATACTTTCTATAATTATCTAATTTTGCCAAAAAAGATAAACAACATGGAAAACCACTGCTCTGGGGGATCATTCAAAGAAGATTCTTAAAGGTCCACAAGCAATAACAAGGAGAAAAAGGCCTGGCACATATTAGTGCTGGCTCAGACATCACATAAATGTTCCTTTCAAATCTCCTCAATCTAGAAACCAGAGCCTCCTATTGAGAATTCTTTTCACTTACCCAGTAGTTTTAAGTAGGTGTGATTCTGCATGTTGTGGGATCCCGTAGAGATGCTCAAATCCATGCAAGGAAAAATCCAAACCAACTGAAGCAGGACCTGTAGAGATCAGGATACTGATCAAGCTTTGCTTCTCAATAGGACACTAACGTAAGAAGATTCAGTGAACTATGAGTGTAGCAAGATGACTAGACTAGGGGCCAAGAGATCTGAGCTCGCTGTGACCAATCAGCCAATGCTGTGTACTGACTCTCCCTAAGATGTTATATTCAGGCATTACATAAAATGTGTAAGCAAAGTTCTGGTCATAGTGTTAGTTATATTGCCTTAGCTGTATACTGTAGCTCTCTCTGTCATCAGTTATAATAAATCTCTTTCTCTCTGTAAAATATGGTTACGTTTTAGACTTTTTCCCCAAAATACATTGCACGTTTCTTTAGAAACAAAGGATATTGAGCACTTTTAATCTTTGCTAGATAAAATGATGAAGTGTCTACTATCTGATCACATATTCTTACTGCCAGCCTCATTTTGACTGCCTACAGGAAATGTCATTTTAAGGTCACCTGAGGGGGCTTCACTGACTCCTCAAAATACTCCTTCCCTGTGATTGTGGTTATATAAATTTCCTTTAACCAAAGACAAAATCCTTTATTTAACAATTATTTTAGAGCTATGGGAAAATGGAAATACCTAGGTGATATAACATGGACTTAAATTTAGCTTAGTTTAAAGTACTGGACATCAAATGGTTCTTATTTGTAGGAGTTTGCAGGAAAGGAATGCTACAGAGAAGGTAAAAAAAAACAAAAATTATGTTGTTACAAAAAGGGAAGCCTGAGAACCCTACTACTTATAAATCTGGGACATTCTGTCAGCCCTGACCATTATGCTATGCTGTAGATATAAATGGGTAGAATGAGGATTCCAAAGGAGGTAGGAAGGGTTTGTTATTCTATAGGGGAGGGAAAAGGAAAGTAAGTTTTTTTCTAACCATATAAGCCCCAAGTATCTGAAAGGCATTTCCTAAAAAGACAAACTCTTCCTCCCCTCAACCCCATCACTGAGCCTAGTGAGAAATGTCACACCCACTGGACGATGGGAGGGCTTGGATAATGCTGAGAACCACTGGCTTGGAATATTGGCGCTGTGAGCTGCAGAACTTGGTTTCTCATCACTTGACTCTCATCAAAAGAGAATGTGGAATTTGTAGCTGTCTGATCTACTGGACAGAGCAAACAGTGTGCTGACCTAGGCTCCTCCATGAGACCATAAGCTCTGTGTGATTCACACTTCTCTTATACTCCCCATAAAAGGCACATAATTACTATATATCTGTTGCAATTCATTACTGAAGGATAGAAGACCCAAATCTGGTATTTCTGTTAATCTTACAGATGCCTCTTGTTTTAGGTTTGATAGACTAAGGAGCCTGACTTTAGATAGAGATATACAGTCATTTTGAAATGATCTGTTTTAATACTACACCAGCTTCAATTTTACCATTAGCTTTGACATCCACAAATTTTCCAAATTTCTCCTCCCACAGGCACAGATCCTCTTGATTTTTCTGTTGGTACAAAAATGAAGCAAATTGAGTTTATAAACTGAAACATGTTGTAGCCACAATAGCACACTTTATTTGGATTATTAAAAAATAAGACTGAGCCAGGTGTGGTGGTTCACACTTGTAATCCAAGCACTTTGGGAGGCTCAGGCAGGAGGATTGCTTCAGTCTAGGAATTCAAGACCAGTCTGGACAACATAGCGAGACCTTGTCTCTACAAAAACAAAAAACCAAAACAAAATAAAAAAGTAGTGATGTGTGGTGGTGCACACCTGTAGTCTCAGTTACTTGGGAGGCTAAAGAGGAAGGATCACCTGAGCCCAGGAGGTTGGGCTGCAGTGATCCATGATCGTGCCACTGCACTCCAGCCTGGTTGACAGAGAGAGACCCCAACTCCAAAACAACACGAGACTGAGAAAATGAGGACGTCTTTTAGAAGACAAGTTTGTGATGTCAGTATATTTAACAACAAATTTATGTTCTAAATAAATGTCAGTAATCATCCTTATGAGCCAAAGCTGATATAAATATATATAGTGGTAAAATACACACAATATAAAATTTACTATTTTCAAGTATACAGTTCAGTGGCATCAAGGACATTCACACTGTTGTGCAACCAGCATTCTCATCAAAGAACGTTTTCATCTTCCCAAACTGAACCTTCCTGCCTAGTAAATAACAACTCCTTATTTCTCTCCACTAGTCCTGGCAGTCATTTTCTACTTCCTGTCTCTATGAATTTGACTGCTCTAGGTACCTCATATAAGTGGAATCATATTTGTCCTTTTGTGACCCACTTATTTCATTTAGGATAATGTCTTCAAGTTTTATCCACTTTGTAGCACATATGTAAGAATCTCCCTCCTTTTTAAGACTGAATAATATCGTATTGTATGTATATACCACAATTTGTTTATTGGTCATCCGTCAGTGGACACTTGAGTTTCTTTTACCTTGTGGCTACTGTGTATAATGCTGCTATGGATATGGGTGTATAAATATAATAAATATATATCTGAGTCCCTGCCTTCACTTTTGGGTATATACTCAAGTGGGATTGCTAGGTCAAATTGTAATTCTGTTTACATTTTTGAGGAACTGCCATACCATTTGACATGAATACCTTTCCATGAACCAAAATGATATGAAAGGACTTGGAAAAATGTAGTCTTTACATATATAAAAAATTTTTAAAAATTTTCTTGAAAACATGTGAGAAAAAACATTTAGAATCCAACAATTTAGTTCTGTTTTGAGAGAGTCTATGCAGAGATTTGTTTTTGCTGAGATGGGCACTGCTCCCCTTATTCCCCCTGCTTTCAATTAGCCAAAATACTGGCTATATTCTTGTGCTAGTTTGAGAAGTCAACTAGGATGACAATTGCTGCTCAGGTCCATAATCTTTTGATCTAGAGCTATAAACTTTTTTTTTTGCTTTATAAAAGTCTTCTTTTACTAGTAGAATGAAAAAAGTTTTTTTAAAAAAATTGTGTGTGTATACGAAATACATATTTCTTTGAAATGAATTATTTGCCCACTTCTAGGTTGTTTCTTCATAATTAAGGCACCTGCAAAGCGAGCCCCTGCATTTTTAACCACACCTGAATGCTTAATGTGGAAGTTATTAGTGTGGGGTCCATCGATGGGGTTTAGAGTCTGTTACCTTCCAAAAAACTGTATGAAAAAATTTTAATTTTTCTATGGAGATGATTTATAGTTTTCATCAGATTCTTGCAAAAAGGTCTGTGACTGAGAACCACTACCTAAACTACCTAATTAGTAACCTCCCAAAAGTTGATTTGTTGTACTGTTAAAAAACTGTGTAAAGTTATGCCTTAGTTGCCCTTATCTTCTCTATTTAGAAATGGAAAAATTACCGTCTCTCATGCTCATCAACATGAGTCAGTTCTGAAGCAAAAGGATTTGTTCTTTCTGCACTGAAAATATTTTTCATCATTCCGGTGGCCATAGCTACTGTCAGGCTCCTTTCAAGATACATGTGGCTCTGGATGAAAAGAAGAATTCTGGAGTGTTCATTCTTCATCATTCAGCAAAAGAATCTTTTAAAAACAGAAAAAAAATCAAGCACAGTGGCTCACACCTGTAATCCCAGCACCTTGAAAGGCTGAGGTGGGAGGATTGCTGGAGCCCAAGGGTTTGAGACCAGCCTGGGCAACATAGCTAGACCTCATCTTTAAAAAAATTAAAAAAGGGCAACCCCTTCAGGTCCCCTCCCAATGTGGGAGCTTTTCTGTCTGCTCAATAAATCCTGCTTTCTCAAAATGAAATAAAAATAAAAAATAAAAATAAAGGCTGGGTGTGGCAGCTCAAGCCTGTAATCCCAGCACTTTGAGAGACCGAGGTGAGAGGATTGCCTGAGCCCATGAGTTTGAGACCAGCCTGGGCAACTTGGCAAGACCTCATCTCTACAATAAATAAAAAAAAATTAGCCAGGCATGGTAGTGCATGCCTATAGTTCAGGCTACTTAGAAGGCTGAGGTGGAAGGATCACCTGAGCCCAGCAGGTTGACGCTGGGGTGGCCGTGAGCGTGCCACTGCTCTCCAGCCTACGCAACAGAGTGAGATGCCAACTCAAAAAAATAATAATAATAAAATAAAAAATAAGAAAAATTAGCTGGGTGTGGTGGCATGCACCTGTAGTCCCAGCTACTTGGGTGGCTAAGGCTGAGCCCAGGAGATTGAGAGTGAGGTAAGCTGTGATCATGCCACTGCACTCTAGCCTGGGAGACAGGGTGAGGCCCTGACTCTAAATAAGTAAACAAATAAATACAGAAATAAAAAGACCATGAACCTGAAATAAGACCTGACATATAGGAGATACTTAACAAATATTTGTTGGATAAGATTGTTACAAGTCTCCACAGAACTGCCCCTGCCTATCTCTCTAGCCTTGTTACATATTACCACCCTTTTGCCTTCCTCCAGGTAAAAGAAATATATGCTGTATATATATTCCCTTTCTTCAAATGTCCTCTTTACTACCTCAAGATCTTTAAATATGTAGTTCTACCTGGAATGTTGTTTTCCCAACTTTTTGACTAGTCAATGTATACTCGTGTCAGTTTCAGCTTTAACATGATTTCCTTCAGTCTTTCTCAACCCTGATCTTGGGCAGGTTCCTTACTGTATTTTCCTACAGCACCGTTTTGTAACACTTCTCATGCTTGTAATTACTTACTCAAGGCCTGTCTTTCCCAATAGATTCTAGCTTCTATGATAATAGGTTTCAGATTAGTTTTATTCAAGACTGATTCCCCTTGCATAGCACAATGCCTGGCAAAAAGGAGGCACTCAGGAAGTATCTGTTTTTATGAATAAATGAATAAATACATGAATGCAGAAATGAGTGAAACAATCAATGAAATGATATGGTGAGCAAAAGAAACAGGTAGTCTCACCTATGCATAGTAGATCAGTTAACAAGTACCCTTCTGTAGAAGGAAGGAACAGAATTCATTCTATTCCCCATAATTGTGAAGATGGTGAAAAAGATAATGATAGGCTGGGCTTGGTGGCTCAGTCTTTAATCCCAGCACTTGGGGAGGCCAAGGCGAGTGGATGGCCTGAGACTGTGGGTTCGAGACCAGCCCAGGCAACTTAGTGAAACCTCATCTCTACAAAAAATTAGCTGGGTGTGGTAGCGTGTACCTGTAGTTCCAGCTACTAGGAAGGCTGAGGTGGAAGTTTCACCGGAGCCCAGCAGGTCGACACTGGGATGACTGTGAGTGTACCAGTGCACTCCTGGGCAACAGAGTGAGACTATAACTCAAAAAAAAAAAAAAAGATAACTACAAATAGCTCAATCTAGATTACCTGAGAGGTGTCAATTGATGCATCCTCCTCATTTTCTTTGGCAGCTCTGTTTTAACATAAATAAATTTATTTTACTCAATGGCAAGACCGACAGAATTTTACTCATTGATAAAGATTTTCATTTTCAACTTTTGAGGCCCCATAAATTATATCCTTTAAATCATTAAATATAACATCATTATAAAAATAAAAATGAAGCTGAGTGCAGTAGTGTGCATTTGTAAACCCAGTTACTCAGGAGGCTGAGGTGGGAAGATTGCTTGAGCCCAGGAGTTTGAGGCCAGCTTGGGCAACATAGTGAAAGTTTATCTCTAAAAAATAAAAAACAATAGATTGCTGGTGCAGTGGCTCACATCTGTAATTCTAGCACTTTGTGAGGCTGAGTTGGGCAGATTGCCTGAGCCCAGGAGTTTGAGACTAGCCTGGACAACACAGAAAAAATTAAAAAGTTTAGCCACGCATGGTGGCGCACTCCTATAACCCCAGCAACTTGGGATGCTGAGGTGGAAGAATTGCCCGATCCCAAGAGGTTGAGGCTGCCGTGAACCATGATTGTTGTGAACATGCCACTACACTCCAGCCTGGGTGACTGACTCAAAATATATTAATAATAATAATAATAATAATAATAACAATAAATTAAAGAAAAAGTTCATATAATTGAAACTTGATGAATGTTAATCCAATAGTTTGATTTCTTACACAAATTTAGCTATATTTGAATTTTCTTGTTAACTTTTTAAAAATATCTCTTTTTTTATAATAAATATAATTACATTAATAATATTTCAAGCCGGGCTCAGTGGCTCAGCCTGTAATCCCACGCCTTTGGGAGGCTGAGGCGAGTGGATTGCCTGAGCCCGTGGGTTCGAGACCCGCCTGGGCAGCAGACCTCATCTCTACAATAAATCAAAAAATCAGCCGAGCATGGTAGTGCATGCCTGTAATTCTGGCTACTCGGAAAGCTGAGGCGGAAGGATCGCCAGAGCCCAGCAGGTCAAGGCTGTGGTGGCCGGGAGCGGCCACTGCACTCCAGTCTGGGCGACAAAGTAAGACTCCAACTCAAAAAAAAAAAAAAATAATAATAATAATATTTCAACAATACAAAAGTAAACAAGATAGAACACAGGTCCCCTCACTCAGTGTTATCTTAGTACACAGCAACATAATGTACAGTTTTCCAGAATGATTATGACAATATATTTTTTCACCCACAATAGTATTTGAGTGCTCGCAATCTTAAAGACACTGGATTTTATCAATTTTTTGCCAATCCAAAATTTTAGAAAAAATAATGCATTTCAATGTGTATTTCCACGATCACAAATGATGTAGACTACCATTTAATACGTTTAATAGTACTTCTATTTTGTCCCCTGTGAATTGTTTACTTACTCATTATACATCAATTTTTGTCTTCAGTATAAAATGCAGCTCGCATGTCAAAGAGTACATAAAATATATGAAGAGTTTAAAGAATAATACTGAAGTGAACACCTAAGAGTTCACCAATGAGCTTTAGCAACAGAAATAACTTATTTCCTTAAAGTCTCTGTGTTCCTGTTTTCAAATTCACCTGCCTCCTCCTCTTGTTTAGAGGTATTAAATTTTGTGTTAATTATTCTCTTGACTTTTAAAAATAACATTCTCACACGTGTATGAATCCTCAAACAATATAATATTTAAGTTTGCTTTTCTAAAGAACTTTTATATAAATAAAAGTTACTGTATATATTCTTTTGTGACTTTTTTCACACAATTAAATTTTTTTTGACATTTATTTTGTTAATATGCATTGCTGCAGTTTGTATCACCCAAACTTTTTCTTTTCTTATTAACTTTTTGTTTCTTTTCTTATTGACTCGTATGAGCTCTTTCTATATTATGCATATTTTTTTCCTTATATATGTTTTACAAATTTCCGTTATGTTGCCCTTTACTTTTTTTTAAATTTAAAAAACTTTATTTATTTATTTATTTTTTGTTCGTTTTTTTTGAGTTGGAGTCTCACTCTGTCGCCCAGACTGGAGTGCAGTGGCCGCTCCCGGCCACCGCAGCCTCGACCTGCCGGGCTCCGGCGATCCTTCCGCCTCAGCCTTCCGAGTAGCCGGAATTACAGGCATGCGCTACCACGCCCGGCTGATTTTTTGATTTATTGTAGAGATGAGGTCTCGCTGCCCAGGCGAGTCTCGAACCCGTGGGCTCAGGCAATCCATTCACCTCAGCCTCCCAAAGGCGTGGGATTACAGGCTGGGCCACCGAGCCCAGCTAAAAAACTTTATTTTTAAGAGGTTAGGATCATAGCACAACTGACTGGCAAATAGAGCGCTCCCATACATCCCTCACCCCACACACGAACAACCTCCTCCAATGTTGACATCCCACATCACATTTGTTACATGAAATGAATCTACATTGACATATCATTATAACCAAAGTCCCTAGTTTCCATTAGGGTTCACATTAGGTACATTCTATGGACTTGGATAAATGTAGAATGACATATATCAACCACTGTAGTAACATACAGAGTATTCTCACTACTCTAAAAGTTCTCTATGCTCAATCTATGCATCAGTCTGTCCTCTAAAGCCCTGGCCACCACTAATCTTTTCACTGTTTCCATAGTTCTGCTTTTTCTGGAAGGTCATATCATTGGAATCATACAATATGTACTTTCAGATTGGTTTTTGTCACTACTTAGTAATATACATTTAAGTTTCCTCCATGTGTTTTCATGGCTTGACAGCCCCCTCCCTTTAACACTAAATAATATTCCATCATCTGGATGGACCACAGTTTATTTGTCCATTCACCTACTAATAAACATCTTGGTTGCTTCCATGTTCTGCCAATTATGAACAAAGCTGCTATAAACATCCATATACAGGTTTCTGTGAGAAAATACAATTTCAATTTATTCAGGCAAATACCAAGGAGTATGATCCTGGATTGTATGGTGGGATCATGTTTAATTTTGTGAGAAACTGCCAAACTGTCTTTCAAAATGGCTGTACCATTTTGCTTTCTCAGCAGCAATGAATGTTGCTCTTCATTCTCTCCTTTTGGTGTAAATGTTTTGGATTTTGGCCATTCATATAGGGCTATAGTGGAATTCATTTCAATTTGTAATTGCCTGATGATATATGATAATGAACATCTTTTCATAAGGTCACTTGCCATGAGTATTTCTTCTTTGGTGAGGTGTCTGTTCAGGATTTTTGCCCTTTTTTTTTTTTTTTTTTTTTTTTTT